TAAAGTCCATCAGATAATAATTCTAATGAAAATTCACTACAACGTGGTTGTGATATACTTTATATTGCATGTTTTTGATGAAGTTTTTGTTGATCTACCAAAAGCAGATCAAGAATGTGTTGTACAACATTGTTTCGGAGGGTGTGCGTGTGATTGTCTGTTATTCAGCGACATCTACACCCATACTCTCAGCTACTACCAAAAAGAGCTCGAATTAACGTTGAACTTTTCAACTCGATGGTGACCATGTTCAACAATATAGAGATTGTCTTGTCGATCGAATGATACAGCACTCATTAACAATTCTGTTTTACAAAAGAATATAGAAAGGTCATAGTGTCAGTCAAGTAGTTCTAAGAATGAGCAAAGCTTCACATTTGTTCTACTGTTTTTCTTTGAGTGAAATCACCGACGGATGAATCCATTAGGACAATCATTGTGTGATTAACCTAACCGCCGTCCATGTATTATACATAGGTATATATATGCATGCATTCGACTTCATGATCCGACATAACATAAACATTTCTCGTATCAACTTGCAACGTTCAGCATTGGCAAAAGAGAAAGCCAATGGATCCGATCTTTGCCATAAATATCAAAACGGGACGTCCAATCGACGAACAACGATATACAAAAGGAATTGAGATTATAGTTCAAATACTCTTGAACCAGTATGAAGACATTTTATTCGATTTTTACTTTCAGTTACTGACGCTTATGATGAATATTCTTCTATCCAAAGATCTTATTTCTGATCAGCAATCCAAGGAAATACTCGTTCTATGTCAGAAAAAGCGAATCAATGCCAATTGTGCTATTGGAAAACTATACATGTTAGTAATTGTAGATCATAATCATTTCTCATCTGTTTTGTTTCTTTCTAATCAAATGTGTGTCGATTTTTACTGTTGTAGCGGTTATTGAAGCTATGAAAAAACTCAACGTCGATATCTATATGGATGTAGATCTTTTTTTCGCATATCAGTACGTTGATACTTCTTGAATTTCGAACAAAAACGCATTGTAAAATGATTTTCGTTGATTTTTTTTAGAGAAGCACGATTCTGTTTGCATATCCAAAACACCATCGTAAGTCTATAACGAGTACTGGAGTGTAGGCGAAGTAAAAATTCACATTCTTTTCATCAGACTACAGGTAAAACATGTGCTATTTCAAAAATTTTTACCAGAAACTGATTGGAAGGAAATTCAGTCTTTCAAGTAAAAAATTTCATGTATCTGCTTCATGAGAAACATATTTTTCCTATTTCTTTGACATCATATACCTTTCCAATAATGAGTCGTTCATTTCTCTCATATTGTTGATTAGAAATAGATTTCATCTATATGATATTATCTACTAATTAGATGATTGGGATCTCGAATCGATTATCGAAAATTTGAAATGAATCGGCATCAAGTACATCTTTGGACGGTAAGTTATATAGTTTTAAAAACTAGTCAAATTAGAGAGAAAACTACGGACAAATGAAGTTGTAGCAGAATCTTGCAAATCGTTGAATTGCATACAAAGCATTATCATAGTTCGAAAACCAATTTTCGCTGAACTATTTGCAAATCTTAACGATTCATTTGAGTATTTTTATGCTAACAAGATAGGACCTTTATTATTAGAAAGAGATGAAATGATGTCGGGAAATTTCTTGATAAAACTGTTTAGAATTAATTGAATCTTGTAAAAGTAATTCAACACACACAAACATGTTAAGATTATAGCCATTGAGTAATGCATTACGTCCAAAGTCTCGAATACCTACTAAAATAATTTCTTGTTTCGTTTTTAAAATGTACTGCTTGGTAAAATGAAATTTGAAAGAAAAGAACAACTTATCTAACTTCTTATAGATGTACTTGATGGGTTTTGAATATTTTAGAAAGCCCAATCGTCAATCAACAAAAAAACGAAAGCTTCGTACTCATTCACAATGACTTCGTATTCTATATAGCATGATTGTTGTATCTATTTCAAAATTGAGTTTTCTTTGTCTGCTTTTGTCAATAAACATCATAGCTATACATAAATATTAATCACTACAATTGCATATCTACGAGAGCGTTGGTGCGGCGTGGGGGTGTGGGTATGCTTGTCGGTATCGAGTCCTATAATTCGTGCGCCAACACCCACACCCGAATTAGGCCAAAATAAACGGAATCTAACATTCATATGCAACATCATAAAGTTTCTAAAATAAGCTCGTCAACCTATAAAATTTACTTAATCTTGAACTTAATTAATACGTAACTGAGTCAAAAATTTAGCAAATCTTTTTTTATTCTATAGACATAACATCGAAAGTATTCTTTATAAACTGATAAAATTTGTGGATATGTTTGGTGGGAGCACCCCCTGCCCTTTAAACGTAGTGAAAGAGACTGAAACGAAGTGGAATCGAATCGCTCACACTCAAATAACTTTGTGAGGCTTCCATAAAAAAACAATGCACTGTTTACTCTTCAATGCATCTTGCTTCTTTCGACAAGGTAAGATGTCTTGTAATTTTTTTTTTAGATCAATAAAAAAAAATCAAACACAAAACTGATTCAAGTGTGCTTTACTGCGATGTTAGAAAAAAAATGAAAAAAGAGAGATTAAAAACGAAATTGAGAAGAGAAAACGTGCGATATTTTGTTTTATATAATAAAGAAAATTGAAAACAAACTTCACAATATAGTTTCAATTTACTTGATGAGGATAGACACATTTTTCTTTTCAACAAAAAACTAGTAATAACGAAGATTCTTTCAGGTAAGTGTATTCACTCTTGCATATTGAATTCATCGAAAATAAAACTATAAGAATCTCTATATTGACTAGTTTTTAACAAATGTATGAATTGTACAGCAGAGTGTCTGTGAGTTCTTTCTACAGAGTGGAACAACACATACCCACACCCACCCTGTTAGTGTGAGTATGCTTGAGCCATAGAACAAAATCCATACCTACACCCACACCCTTTTCTTTATTGTCTATCGTTAAATGTATCTACCGAATTAAAACAAATAATAATTATTCTGTATAGTTACTTTTTTTCAAAAGGTAATTCTACAGTGCTGAAAAAATTGAGAATCTAATTTTGATGATAGCGACAAAATGCCTTCATTACACTCAATTTATTTTAGTAATGCATAAAAGCAAACTAAAAATTAAATATAGTGGGCAATAGAAAACTCCACGCACTCTCAAAGTATATCATTATTCTGTTTAAAATATGGCTTTATGGTAATGATTTATTTCAATACGAATCGGAAAAGTTTATTTTCAGAGGGATCTACATATAACGTGGGTGAAAAGTAAGGAAACACAGACTTCTTTACAGATTTATAGTTCGATCTGATATTTGGACCACATATGTTGGATGACAACACTCAGAGAAAGAGCTTATTGCCAGTCGTAGGCTGCAAGAATTTGTTGAAAAGCATACGAATATCTTTTGCATATTCTTATATGACTGTCACATTTCGTTGTTCTCTGTTCGAAGTCAATGTCTTTTTCATTATATCTTGTTTTTAAGTATTTTTCTATGCAACAAGTCTGAAACAAGATAGAGAAAACTAGAATTCAAATCATTCTGTAGATACTGTTGCAAAAAAAAATCCAAAAGATAGAAAAATAACACTACATGAAAACTACAAACTTATGTGATGGTCATGTAGGACTGCGTAAAGGATATTCGTCTACTTTTCGACAAATTCATCTGGTCAAAACCAGATCAATGGTTCTTTCTCTGAGTAGTGGCATCCAGTATATGTGGTCCAATTATGAGATCGAGCTATGGATCTATGAAGAAAAAAACTTAAACAAAAGTTCATGTTTCCTTATTTTTGGCCCATCCTGTATATAGATAAATGCTTAGATTTTAAACACTTATGGCAAAATTCGACCATCTGCTCTTATCATTCCTCTATGAAGAACTCAAACAGTCGATAAACACAGCTACCATTATGCGGACGCAGTAAAAACAATTTGCCCATCAGAGAGAAGAAAAGTGTTGCATATATAAAGCCGACATAAATAACAATATGAAGCAAGGTAGTAAAACGAGATAGAAGGCAATCATTGAAAGCTGATACATGGTAAACAAAATATGAAACAAAAAAAAAGGGCCTGAAGCATAAGAAACAATAAAAACACTAAGGTTAACTTTTCTTATTGAAGTCATAAAATAAAAGGAACATTTTGCTCAGATGAGAATCAAGATGATCAAAACCGAAAGTATAGAAGCTGTCACAACGTCGTAAGCCAACTCAACAGCTAACATAGAGTGATATCCAACACACAGCTGAGCGTTTTATTATGTTCTGTACCTTGATCGTATGTCAATGTGACCTATAGGATGAAACATGTATCATGATAATGACTCCGGGAAACGGTCATGTTTATCAGGGCAAATTTGCATGAACGTGAGGGTGTTCATGTGTGTTTCGTTGTCGTCTTTGGATGTCAATAAAATTCGAGTGTAGGTTTGTTGAGCAATTACAATGTGAATATTTCAAATGTGAAACGACAATCTTGAGAAGCTAACAGAGGGTTTGGGTGGAGTATGCTTTTGACCGTGTCGGTGTGAGTATAAGTGGCGTATGGCTATGGGTATGGTCGGGTGTCGCTGTAGGTGCTGGTTCATGTTCTAGTGAGTTTTCTGGGTTAGGAAGTGCATGTAGGGTAAGGATAAATGAACCATGGATTACAATGTATTAACCATACCCACACCCGTAAGTACATTTTCAGTTGACAAATTGAATTTTTCACAATAGAAAACGTTCCTAAGATTCTTCGTCATTTATCTATTCAAAAACTACTTTAGATAATATATGAGAGAGACTTTATTGTTAAAGTGACCTTTCGACAACATCAAAATTCTTGTTTTATTTTGTCACTAACTGATAGTTAGTCGTTTTTCAACTGATATATATTCACAAAGAAATATTAAGGAGCCATGTGACTCATATCGTTTGTATTAATGCTGTATACTTCCATTTCATTCAGGAAGTATGGTACGGGTATTGACATTGATCTTGGTGAGTCTCATAGTCGCAGTCTCTTGAGTATGTGAAGGATGGACAGTTTGTTGTTTCTTCAATCCGAGTGAACGTAAAAGTTGATGGCGAAAGCCACTGAATGAAATGATTGAAACATAAAATGGAGAACTAAAAAGAAGATACGATAGAAGATTAATAGTCTCTGCAATCACGGTTTCCCAAGCAGCTCGTAAAGGTGATTTGAACCAACCATTAGTGATGTTACTGTATAATAATTGTGCTGCATATGGCAAAAAAGAGATCATTGCAACAAAAATCTGCATAAAAATCATGATTGTTAGTTGTGCATCAACTTTATGAATAACCGATTGATTAGCATTGGTTGATTCATTGATAGCAGCCACATGTGCTGTGCGTCGTTGAATAATATGACGAATACTTCGTCCGATTAGAATACCGAGCACAGTCAGAATAATCATCGGACATAAACAAGTGACAATAGCGCCAAACAAGTTATCGAAGTATGCATAGACGCCTGATTGACCTCCACATGATCCACTCGATGTGCTATACCAGATGAGCCGGTGACACAGGATCAAAATCCAAATCATCGAAAACGCTGCTACGAGTTTGTTTGCCAAATCCATGCGATTACCCCATCGTCGATAAGCTACAATCAAACCATACATGTTCATATAGTTTAATTTCAATTTAACATTTCATCTCTCTATCTCCCGTCAGTTTTGTGAAAAAGCACGCCTTTCAGATTTGAAGAAAACTTCCAGTACGACCTAAATGGGTCCCAAGCAGACTACGTCTCCTAACGCTCACTACTGTTCTATATTTCTATCATGCTGAAAGATAGTGTTGTCACAATATTTTATCTCAACCACAATCTCCAACTTCCATGGCATCAATGTATAACTTAAATCAGATTTTCGCATCATACAACGGAAGCTAATGTATCCAATATGGCAAACATCTGAAATCGAAACTTTAGTATGTCATGTTTAATATGTTCGATTAGAATGTTTCCATAAAGATTAATAATAGTTGAATATCTATTTTATATGTTAGAATGATTTTGTCATAGATGTGGTTTACAACGCGATGTTCAATGATTGATAAATGAAGAAAACACGAAGAAATAAAACGATCGATTTGAGTATGATCCATTTAATCACATGAAATTTTCAGGCGAGTAATACATTGATCTTAATGTAATTTTTTTTCTGATCGTTCAACGAAGACTCTTGCTATCTTCACTTCTTATTGGCACAGCTACCAAAAGAGAATGAATTCTCCAGGGAATGACCTATAAACACGTACGTCACTATCTGTGAAGCAGATTGCAAATATTCTCTACAAATCTTGCACAATACAATTGTGCATATATATTCGAAAATGTCTTTCAAAAGAACTTCATTAGTCAGTAAGAACAGATATCGCTATATGAGTAGAAAGCGGTATCAACTACTAGTGCTAACAGACGGCATTAACAATAGGTGGTAGTACATATAGCACGTTTTAATGATAAACGCGATACTCAGATCTTTATGATCTGTCCAGAGTTGGTAAACTTATTTGCAAGTATAAGCTAATCAGTTTTGTCAAGTCAATTAAATGCTATCAAGTTAGAACCGACCAAGTTGCTTCTCTTGATTTATTTCGAACTATTTGAAAGTTGTACGAACACTGTTCATAGACAAAGTTCTTTTAAACGACACTGAAATACTTCTGAAAATTTATACGAAGTTTCATTTCTCAAAGAAACAGGCTGTAGAAGGCACACGATGTGCATTATGATAAATCTTGGTATTGTTAGAGTGCTTTACAGATATTACACTCTGAAGACGACACAAAATGCGTATTATTCTACTGTATGCCTGATATTTTTTACACATTATAATAGCTGAATCATTTGTCGTGCTTTGAAAATTTATAAATCATTCGACTTCATGGTTATTATTATGCGTTCAGTGCATGATCACACAATGACTCAGATATCACTTTCTGAATGTCACCGTATAAGCTGTCCGTCTCCACTTGGACTGGACCAGCTTGAATTATAAAAAAAAGCTTGTAGATATCGAAGCAGATCTGTACTAAACATATGAAGATAAAATGTGTTCTCTATGTTATACTTCAACACATGTCATACGACATATTCCAATGCAGTAAAAGATGGTCCTCGTGACACTTTTCTTTCAGGTAGGCTACAACAAATGAGATACCTGTTAAAAGCGTACATAGTTAGAGTGTATTTTTCAAGGCATGCAGTATTTTTCTTTGGATTTTCGAACACATAAGCATCTGTTCAGCTTAATTTATATTTTGTAATATCTATTACTGTTTGTGCCAAAGATGATAAGATCCTAAGAGTTAGCCGTCCTTAGTCAATTGATTTTGATCAGACAATTTTAAGACAGTCTTATCTCGATATATTACCGAGTAATCACTAATCGGAAAGTAATCTAGAAAAGAAGCGATATAGAAATGTATAAACTTAATGTGATTAATAGTATTGGTGCCGTGTCGCTGTATACGCGAAACAAAATGATGAACAAATGCTCACCACCTAGATTAGGGAGCATTTCAAAATGTTTGCCGTTCGGCCGCTTTGCCACGGCATAACTGATTTATTTTACTTACATTTTGATATATTATTTGGTTCTTTTGATGTATGTATGTGTATACACGAAGTATATTTTTCTATTTCTATTCAATATTCTTTGGCCATAGACTATTCATTTTCTTCAAAAACAATGAATTTTCTAACTCGTGATAAGACTTTCGTCCAACTTTATTGCATTGAAAACGTGATAATAATATTTGTCTCATTCTTTCTTGAGACTTTTCTTTCTTTTTTCTTTTTTTGAACATCAATTACGTGTAGTTTGGCATAATAAAAACTCTTTAAAAAGTACTTGAAAACTTGATGAAACGTATAATAAATGAATTAAATTTATAAGGAATAGCTTGTATCAAATTGAATATGTAGTTAAACTGTTGTTTATGAGAAATAGTGAAATAAAAATAGCATCCATTCATCTATCTTTCTCTCTTTTTCAGTCGCTTTGCCAGCAGCTGCTAGAAAAACGACTGACAAGCAGAGAAACAGATGAAAAAAAAAGTGACCGCTCTTGACAACAAATAAGCTAGTATATGTTATTATTTTCTTATTCAAACGCTGATTTATCACTACCTTCAACAATTTCTGGAGATGCTTCGCGTACATTTCTAGCTTTAGACATTATTAAAGTTAAATAGACAACTGCAAAATGTATGATGCGTATCATTTTTTGTGAAATAAAAATTTATAATTATTATTTTTTCTCCTTCTAAAAATAGTTTCTGTTTCAAACATAGATAATCTTATTTGTTTCATTGTTTGAATCATCATATTCTATTCCCATGTAATGAGAATTAATTAATAATACGTGTCTGTATATATTTCTTGGACGATATGTTTTTTGAGCACAACAGAATAAGACAATTGAGCACCAAATGAAAAAAAAACAATGTAAAAAAGATGAGTTATGTCTTGAATAGATAGAAATTATAGTATACACGTATAAAATCATTCAATTGTGATAGAGTCAACTCGNGGCCCGAACAACAGCATGTTTTGTCCTGATAATAGTAGAGTAATTTTTTTCTGTAGCTCATAGAAGAAAATGTTTTCTATCAGCCACCAAAAAAATCACTCTATTATCAGGACAAAACATGCTGTTGTTCGGGCCATATGAAAGAGAATTCCTCCAAACCCCCTAGTCGCCCCGAACAACACTATGTTTTGTCTTTACAATAGTGGAGAAAACCTTTCCTGATTCATTTTTATACCTAAATTTCATATACCTTGAAATTTAAATAACTTGCTGTAGGCAAGCCATTAGCAGCTCATATTTTTAATTTGATAGTTTCTCGTTGAGGGTGATAATTTGACCCGAACATAGTTAATCAAATCAACTAATATGACAAACAGTTCCATTGTGAGTACAATAAATAATAGCAAATAAAGTTTCTCTATAAAGGACTTACATTTCCATTGTTCTTTTGTATATTTTGCATCTTGATGTATATCAATCATAGGTTCTATAGTTGGTTCATCCGTAGGATCATGATAAAATTCCAAAAATGGATGGCCTACACAACACATACGATATAGAAAATAATTCACGTGTAATTATATTATCAAAATTTACCTAGAGCTTCTTCGGCAGTTGAACGTTTACGAGGATCAAAAGATAAAAGACGATCAAGCAAATCAATACCTATAATCAAATGAAGTAATGGTCATTTGTTTCTTTTTTTTCTCTCTTTGTTCTAAATTTACCTTCTGGTGAAACACCCGAGATTATTGTTTCTGTTAATGGATCATATTTAAAACCAAATAATTCATTAAAATCTTTTTTCGGTTTAGATTTCATTCCAGTAAGATAAGCTGATGCACCTAAACGTGTTTGCATAAAATATTGCTCATGTTTTAGAATATTAGTCAATTCAAAGAGATATTAAATGATGATAATTGAAAAAGTGTTCTTGTTCAATGTTAATGAAGGATTCTACTTTTCAAATATCGATATTTTATGTAGGAAATATGGATTTCATTCGTTGTTTTTGTATACGAACCTGGTGCACATATCTCTTGTAATGTTGTCGAATCAGGTGTACCAGTAATGTCAAATATTCTGTTTAATTGATCAGTAGTAGTTTCTCCAGGGCAAAGTGGCCTACGAAGAATTAGTTCAGCCATTATACAACCAATAGACCAAATATCAACTTTTTCATCATATTTTGTCTCATTGAGATATATTTCGGGTGCACGCCACCATCTAACAAAGAACACATTTCTTATAGTAGTTTTGAAAATAAAAGAAGAAAGTGTGACACACCTGGTAGCAACATAATCAGTATGACAACCAGTGGATGCAACACGAGCTAATCCAAAATCAAGAATCTATTGTGAAAAAAAAAAGAAATGGCAATAGAATAAAGAAGTGTTTCAAAAACACAAAAAAAAATTAGAAATGTAAGCCGATATAGAAATTGACAGCAACTCGAAGTGCCGAGAAGATGCACATCGATATGGCAAAAGATGACATCGAAAAGAAATTAATCACGAATAATAAAGATACTCAATACTGCAAACAAATAATTTAAAAAATTGCGAATCTGTTTTGACTGCAAGATTTAGAAACTGATACGGTTAGCTTGCATCTCTGAAAACATGTTACGAAGAGATATTTTCTTGATTGTAGTCTGCGTCGTTTTAGATTTTTTGTCAATCTATATCATTGCACATCTTATGTAAAGACGAATTTTGTCGATGCTATCCAAGAATTAAATTATGAGTCAATAATCTTACAAAAAAATGTCAGTATATATTTATAGGAAGTATTTTAAAAAGAACATATAAAATATTAAAATAATTTATTTTCTGTAAAATTAAATTTTACTCTGGACGGTTATTGCAAAGCACTTCTTTATCGACCAAATCGGAAATTAAACAATTTCATTAGATTATTGTTCATGACAAATACAACATTACAAGAAAGTAGTTTGCTCATTTGTGACAAATATCTTCTGATAATATGTCCATGAGTCTATTTTTTCTTTATCGATAATTGCCTTTGTATCAACTAAAATGGTTCAAGTACTTCTTGAGGCTATCAATTAAACCCATCATTTTAAAAATTCTCCTAAAATTACAAAGAACTGAAATCGAGAAGGAAATGATGTACTGCATGCTCCACTATGCTCCGTGGACTTCTGAGCTACAGAGAGTACATGAAGTCCAAGCCAGGAGAGAAAAACGACGTTCTCTGGTGCTCCCGGGAATACAAGAAGCATGGGAGTACAGTGGGAATATACAGATTAAGAAGTTCTGGAATAGAATTGTTTTCATTGAAGAGTGAACTAACATATATAGAACGAAAGTGGATAGTAGACACGCTAAGGCCGTGATGTTAACTCGGTGCGAAACACATTTCTGAATTGGATTCAACGTTGATCAGATAATAAAAAGTTTTGAATTAGTCGATATATCAAATCCAGCAAAAAAGACATGTAACAATATTGTACAAAATAGACCGATGAGCTTAATGAGTACTTAATCGTATATACCACAAATCAGTTATGAGGAAAGAAGCTGGATTTTGTGCTAATCAAAAATCAATAGATATTGTATGAAAACTCTGTGAAATTTGTTGTGGTATGCTACACTCGCTATTTTCTCAGAAAATATATGTGTTTTGAGCTAAAATATTATAAACGATTACAAAGTTAAATGTTTTTATAGAATACTTACTGTAATATTGCTATTTCTATCGATTCCAATATTCGTTGGTTTTAAATCCTATTTTAATAAAATAAATAAAAAAGTTTCTTAATATAAGACAATGCATTGGTTACACGTACACGATGGAGAATACCAGCTGAATGAATAAACTAGATAACAAAGAAAGAAAGAAAGAGAACAATATTGCATTTAATAAATACTGAAGGGAAAATTCATAGTACTTTCAAGCCACGAAGAAGTGAATATATAATTAGTTTAATAAGGTCTTCTGTGAGTGATGCAGGTTGTGACATAATTCGATTCAAGTCACTGGGAACATAATTCAATACTAAATATCTGTTGATATAGAAAAAAGGGACTAAAAATCTTTATGCAACAAAGATACTTTTACAACATACAATGTTCGAAATTCGTTTAAATTTTTTTCAGGTGTAAATACATCATATAATTGTACAACCTAAAGTAGGAAAAAATACAGATAATTGCTAATGAATCTAAAACAATCATTTCTACAAACTTGTGCATCAGGATGATTGAGATACATAAGTAGTTCAAGTTCTCGATAAGTTCGTTTTGCATGTGTATCAGTTTGAAAAGGATGGAGAAGTTTTTTAATAGCTACATATTTACCTGTTGTCTAAAATACAATTGTGTATATATTCATATAAATTTCTTTTTCATCATATATCATAATAATACATACTGTATCAGTGGCTCGACTACATAATAATTCAATTATTAACAAAAGAAAATGGAATGAATATTTCTACTTACACAACCATACCATATGTTCCTTGTCCAATAAAAATTAAATCTTGATATCGTACAGGTAATATAAATGTACAATAACCGCAATGAGCTGTATACCATTCATCTTGATGGACGCCATTAACATTCATATCCATATTTGTTTTTGCTAATGTAAAGAAATAACAATCTGTTGGGTCTTGAACGATGTTGAAATATAAAAAAAGGAAGTAAATTTATAATACAAAAAAACATGAGAAGGAAAAAAGGAAGTAACCAATAATGACAGCTATTTATGCAGTCAAGAAAAAAACAACTAAAGTAAACGTAATTGTCCCATTCAAATAGGAATTTCCACATTTGTTTACCATACACTAATAAATTTAAGAAGAAAACAAGAATTGATAGATGGCGCTTTCACAGTTACCAATCGAACGAAAATTACTCAATATTTGTTCTTGATTATGTTGACAGTGTTGAATTCAATGGAGGCAACGTTAATTTATTTTGAAAAAGATCATAAAATAACAATTTTTTCGTAGATTTAACAAAGCTAGATCTTGTCTTTAGTTTTGCCTAACTCAGAAAACGATTCGATGCTATTTATCGTAAAGAAAATAATACACTTATGAATATTGAAATAATGTTATTTGTCTGCTTTATTCAATGTGTTCGTACCAAAATGTCATTTGAAAAAGAGATCAAATCAAATGCAAGATAGGAGCAATATCTTATCTTTATTTTATTTTGAAAGAAGTAAAGTGATATAAAATATCTAACTTTACTTGACTGACTAAAATATATCGCACAGTGAAATGTTGCTTCGTAAATGTGAAAAAAATAAGATCAAATGGGCAAACAATATATTTCATTCACTGATAAAGAATTGATATTTTCTAACTTCACTCTACTATCTTTACACTTGCTTTTTATGATAAAATCATATTAAAGAAAATTGTTATATGTTGTATTGCATCAACGTATGATACTTAACTAAGAAAGTAGTCAAAGCTTTTACTGTAATATTTTTCTCTATTATAGTTTTCTTGATAAAGTTTGCTTTATCCAGTAAGTAAAAGTGTGTTGAGTTTTCTGCTTAAAGTAAAGATAAAGAGCCACCTCTAATACGAAATAAATAAAAGGTTCAAACCATACGGTAGGCGAGGTCGATTTTTTCCTACTCTTTCTTCCTGACTTTTCTATTATGCAGACATGATCGATCGAATGTTGAGTGGTCAGAAAGATGAGCAAGAAAGAAAATAACAATGGTCTCAGTTATAAATATATGAGTTTTGTTTCTATCTTCAAGGTTAACATGTTGATTCATGAAACACTAATATGATTTCGAAAGAAAAAGTTTTATTGAATTGTCATTGATAGAAGGAAAAAAAATTAAACTAATATAGGAATGCTGATGGGAAATTGAATAACCATGATGATAAGACGACATAAATGATGACATTGAACACGTTGGCGATATAGTTTTTTTTTGTCATTACCAGAAAAAAATTGTTGGTTGAGAGAGTCAGCTGCCTGACCATGTTCTACAGAGGTTGTGGAAATCTTCTATCTGAGCCTGATTATGTCACCAATAGTATTGTTATGAAATTCATTTTATTACTAATGTAAAAATGAACACTTATTATATGTTAGTTTATGTCATTATTGCTGGAACAATTAATTATAAGTTATGTATTTAGAATAAAATCACAACTAAAACTTCTTTAATAAAAACATATACAATAAAAGGATGGAAATGTTAATAGTTGATAGTGTGAAAATGAATGATGATGTTGGATTGTGAGAAGAATGAAATTCCATACTTGTTGATTTGTATGAGAACAGTATTTGAAGAGAATGCCCAATTAAGAGAAGCAAATATTTGACCTTGTTTTTCAAAGTAATAGTTTCATGTGGTTAAAATAATCATAGATTGTTTCACAATCCATTAATTGATACTTTCGCTCATGTTTAATTATATAATATTATTTACTATTGTGTCCCTCAGAATTAAACTATGTTTATAAAAGCACGTATAGCATAAAAAATTCAATAAGAAGTAGTGTATAACACAACTTTTAATTGATAAGAATGTAGATGCAACAAAAAATATTGTTGGATGAAAAATAATATTACTTTTTGTATTAGATATTCAAATGGCAAAGTTTTGGTAACAATAAAAAAATACCGAAACTTACAGCATTGGTAGCCTTTCAATGTCATCATCTGTTTTAATGAACATATGCTATCAAATAATTTCCAATGCATCAATAGAATCCCACAGCACATCAATTAAAATCTGTTACGCTATGAAATTCGATCAAAGTCATATATTGTGAAAGTCCAGTTTTCGGTGCACATTTTTACAAATTATCTTTTGTCGTAAGGGTTGACTAGAAACTGTTGGAGGATACTTTTCTCAATACTTCTAGCATTAATTAAACTATGTTTAGAGCATTTTCAGTGAATTACAATAAAATCAATATTTTTCCCAAGAACGCTACTTCTAAGTCTGTTGAGTTACAACCAGTAGATGCATCCAAAAGTGCTGTACAAAATGGTGAAATAAATGAATTTTACATTGTTCTTCTTAGGAGCTATAAGACTCATCAATCTAATCTAATATATAAAAATTCGATTATTTGACCATTGCCATGAAATTTTTTATATTTTCCAAGTTTATTTTCTTGTTAGCAACTATTTGAACAAGATATCATTTTAGTTATATATTTTAAAACTTGAAAACAGATTATAGTTAATAAGTTAGATGACATTCAATAGGACATTATACAGTAGCTTAATATATGTTCTCAACTAATTTCAATAGTACATTAATATAACCTATGAATATAGTTCTAAAATAGTTAGGTACAAAAATTCTCAAAAAAAAAGCGAATTTAGTATTTTACATTAGTTTCATATATTCAGTTGCTGGTAAGCGTTGATGACAATTAGTTACCTTGACGATCACTATCTTTAGATGTGTAATATTTCTATGTAGAACTTGTTTTCTCGCAGAAAGTTGGTTCTCTATTCAATAAGATACGATCACAGAGAAATAAGGATGTAACGATGATGATCATTCGCTGTTACCGATTCACTGGCTCGAACTTACAACAGCTATGAGCTGGTAATCGTTACAACAACAACCAATACAAATCAATAAAAATGCAACTGGTAAATGGTGTTGACCGAAATCCACTGGCACTCCTACACCATTTCACCATTTAAGCGGACTTCAGCAAAGTTTTCTCTCGCAAGCGAAGTCTCCAACTGATTAATCGCTTGCAAGTGTGAAATTTGTGCATTATCTATGAATTAATGAAGTACGAATACAATGAAAAGAGTTTGAACCTTTAATTTATTGTTGCTGAGATGCTTCATTTTTACGCTATTTTTTATTTTAATGCTTAATCCCGTCAGGAACACTAGCAGACTTTGTTTTCGAATTTTGACTTGAAACTTTGCATAGATACAGATCTTCATGAGACTGGTTTATTGCGAAAGTTTCAGATCTTTTGATTGATTCCTTTCCTAAAATAAGAACAGTATAAAATTCACAGTTTCTATCTTAGGTTGGGAACAACGAAAATATCTGAAATCTTTACAATGAACTGTTCTCGTTGACCACAAGATCTATAGAGAGTTTGAAGTCAAAATCTGAAAATGAATTTTATAGCATTCCCGAGGAGAACTACGGCATTAACAAAAACAAAATATCGCACAACCCTAATATCTTGCTAGCAATAAGCTATGGTTCTGTATTCTTTTCAGTATATGCAAAACTCATTAGGATCCAGAATCTTGAAAGTCACGAAAGTGCTTATCTATAAGAACACTAAAATAGGATCAAAATTTTATTGTTCAAGCTGAAACTTGCAAAAGTGACTATTAACTTTGACATCTATAAACTGTGAGAGTTTCACGTCACACAGTTTTTTTTCTAATTGTGGCGAAATCATCCGAAATACTTTTCATTGTGTACTGCAGAAAAGGATAATGCTATTTTGTGATAAGCCTTGTCAAGTCAAACTTCAAGAGCCAAAACTTTTGATTGCATAATTAAGTAGCACTAAATTAGTACTCTTTGGGGGGAAAGTTTCAAATAATTCTATCACACTCATTTGGAAAATGTCTATCGCAAAGCTAGGCTATTTTGGAGCCTATTTGATAAGTAGTGTGGAACTTAAGTGAAAGTTCCAGTAGTAGTTAATCACCACTTAAGCACTATTGGGTAGGATGGTTGAATTGCCCATCACAAAATCTATGTCTAATAAAAATTTCAGAACTCTATCACGTACCTGTGAGAAGCTATGCCGACAACATTTAAAATAACTAATTGACAAAAAAATTCTGAAATTGATAAAAGACTAATTTTATGTGGTATTAATCTGATAATCATATCTCAGTCAAAATTAATTCGTTAGGTCTAAAAATTTGGCTATATTCCTTAAAAAATCGCTTTACAAAATGGGATAACTTTCATCGAAATCTGAAATTATCGATTGAGCAGCTGTATTGGAAATCGAGCATCTCCCTCGTCCAATGACTCCTAAAGTACTTTATACTTCTCTTGTGTTATTACAATTTGATTCATCACATCATTCACAATGACATATAAGCATATTAAATAAGACCTTGTTATTAATTATGTATATTAAAGATGAAAAACTGTTTAGAAGTTAAATGCATTGAGAAAAATTTATTTTTAACTTGGCTGATTTCATGTACTGAATATTTTTGTGTTTTATTCAAACATCAAATTATCTATTGAAAATGAAGAATCAATGAAGTATTTAGTAACTCATAGTCTATGCCTTGAATGGTTGTGATTGTGATGAGAACTAGTTTAACATAAACATAGTGATTGATAATTTTTACAATCGACTTTGTATCTTGAATTGAGAATGAAAACAAATAACAATGTAGCTTTTAATATGTAACTATGTAAAACTAACATATTGCTATTTCGTATTTATAACAAATAAAAAATGGGTATTCTCTTTTGTTGCAGTTACTCATTAATATTCGTTTTTATTATCGTCTGGAAATTCTGATATCTTATACCTTTAGTTTATGTCTTATTCATTAATCCTCTATAATTTATTTCTTTTGTGCGTGCTTCTAATTACATCTTTCTATTACTTTGCTGAATATATGCATTCGTTGTGAAGTATAGCTGAACGCATTTTATTTGCATGTTAGTAGTGTTCGTTGGAGAGGCTGGATATAGATTGTCAACATGAATTGAATTTTGATTTGTCTCATTTGTTGAATGATTGTACATGTTTTATTAGTTTTATATATAAGTATAAAATGGTCAAACTTATTGTCTTTGTGAATGGTTCTAATATATCTTTGTGAACAAAAAAAAAACATTATATTTTGACTCTTTTGCAATGATGTCTGTTATAATGTAAGAAACCAAATTGAATAAATAAATATTGATCTAACTTACGATTCTTTCTATTGCAATATCGTATTCATCGAATATTATCATTTCGCAATCTTACATTTGTTTTTGTTAGATCGACAGTCGTTCGTGAACTTTCAATGTAATTGAAACTAGACAAAATTCATCTGTATTCCGTGATAGTAACAAAAATAGCCAGTATATTGACAATCAACCAACGATAATTTGATACTTAAACGATCATCTATCTTCTGATCACGATTCAACTGGACTATACTAGCGATAGTGCGAATAAACGTGTAACATGTGTTCTTGTCATTAATTCTTACTAAGCTTTTAGAAAAAAAGTCGTTTACTCAATGTTCACTAAGAGTTTTTGATACGATGGTAAAGTCTAAATCTTCAAAAAAATCACTTGAAAATCCATTAATCAGATATAATCATGCCGAGCTCTCTTTATCCTTATAGCAAAGCATTATTTTCGATTGACTATAGCCAATATAGATCTCTTGTTTTTTAATTTCTTGTTGTCATTCAGTAATAATTCTACACAATTGTAACACACAAAGTTTTTCAATTGAATAATAGAATTATTCAATGTTATGATCTATATTGTACTTTCAATGCTCTTTTGATTCATAAGCTTTAAATGATTTAGAGAATTGACGTATCTACTTAAGTACTCTTGAAAAACACAATGCCTTATCCCAATTCAAAAGGCAATCTTATGATGTACATATTTATTTACATGGTTGCATGTAAGAAAATGATAATTTTTTTACGTATTCGTAAAACTGCAATCATAAGCAGCTCTTTTAACATTTTTAATTCTTTCTATTTTTCAGAAAGTTTTTATTGAAGTGATTGATACCATTATACAACATTCTAAAATTACTTACCATGAACTAAAATCGTTTTGAAAACTTTCGGACGTTTTCTTTTTCAGAAACAAAAGCATTCTAATGCATAAATCAGATGAGATGCAACCATCAAAATGCTTCTTTTTTATTTTTCAAAAATAAATAGTTCGATTCCATTGCAACATTACGTTCATAACGTTTTTTTTTTGCTTTATTGTTCATTATTATACACTGATTTAAAATAAAAGAAAGTTTTCGTACAACAAAAGTCATATTTATATTACTGTCTTCGTTGAAGTCGATACAATAAAAATGTTTTAAAAAAATATACAAAGTTTTGAACTATTGTCCAAGGAAAAATAAAACATTTCTCGTCTAAAATTTATTCGAACTTTCTAATAGAAATGCGTATGTAGAAGAATAAATTAATCGAATACCATAAGAATAAGAAAAATACATCGTAACTACGAAAGGGTATAAATTCATGATTAAATACAACAGACATAACCATAAAAATGTTGATTTTCATACAAAAGCCAATATCTATTGTAATGTATCAAAATGCGTAACTCGCCAATAGTTATGTTGTATGTTATTCATCGTTTTATATTATGAGTCGTCAATAAGATCTTGATTAACCCAAGATGGTGGTAAAAACTCTTCAACCATTTGCCACACAATAGCTAAAACAATGATAAATGTTTTTTTGAAATACGTATCAATAAAATAATCATTATCGACATCAAGTCGTTCTTGGTTTTGGTTTACAGAAAAAAAAATTCTAATTAAAAGTGAAAATATAACGAGGAAAAATAATCACTAAAAACTATTGATAACCAACAATATATATAGATGTTAGAAAAATTAGTACTCAAATATTTTCTATTCTTAAACTTTTTATCAATCCATTTCGTCAAAATAAAAATGATGATTTCTGAGTACAATAAATAATAGCAAATAAAGTTTCTATATAAAGGACTTACATTTCCATTGTTCTTTTGTATATTCTGCATCTTGATGTTCATCAATCATTGGCTCTATAGTTGGTTCTTCCATTGGATCATGATAAAGTTCCAAAAATGGATGACCTATACAACAAATACAATACAGAGAATAATTAACGTATAACTATATTATTAAAATTTACTTAGAGCTTCTTCGGCCGTTGGACGCTGACGAGGATCAAAAGATAAAAGACGATCAAGCAAATCAATACCTATAATCAAATGAAGTATAGGTCATTTGTTTCTTTTTCTTTCCCTTTGTTCTAAATTTACCTTCTGGTGAAACACCTGAGATTATTGTTTCTGTTAATGGATCATATTTAAAACCAAATAATTCATTAAAATCTTTTTTGGGTTTCGATTGCATTCGACTGATATAAGTAGATGCTTCTAAAATGTTTCACATAAAGTATTGCTTATACTTTAGAATATTATTATATTCAAAGCAATATTAAAGGATGATAATTGAAAAAGTATTCTTATTCTATATTAATGAAGAATTGTATTTTTCAATTGTCTTTACGTAATATGCGAAATATGAATTTCATTCGTTATTTTTTATACGAACCTGGTGCACATATCTCTTGTAATGTTGATGAATCGGGTGTACCGGTAATGTCAAATATTTTATTTAACTGATCAATTGTATCTTTTCCAGGAAAAAGTGGTGTAAGTAGAATTAGTTCAGCCATTATACAACCAACAGACCAAATATCAACTTTTTCATCATATTTTGTCTCATTGAGATATATTTCGGGTGCACGCCACCATCTAACAAAGAACAAATTTCTTATAATAGTTACAATAAATAAAAGAAGAATGTTTGACATACCTGGTAGAAACATAAGCGGTAGGAGGATTGGTTGATGCGACACGAGCTAATCCAAAATCAAGAATCTATTATGAAATAAAAGAAATGACAATAAAATAAAGAAGTGTTTCGAAAAAACAAAAACAAGAATAGAAATGCAAGTCGATATAAAAATTGACGGTGACTAAAAGTATCGAGCATATTAGCATCGACAGTTGAAAGTTTTTAATGATTCTTTTTTTGGAAATGCTGCTAGTTTCAAAGTAATTTAAATCAGGAAAAGAAGAAAATTACAGTAGAAAATATATTAATCGGAAATTAAGTACAGATAAGCAAGAAAATCAACACCGGATACGACTAATTTAAAAATTTTTGAATCTGTTTTGGTTTGAAGATATAGAAATTTATACGACCAGCTTACACAGATGAAAAAATCTAAAGCAGAGATATTTCCTGAATTTTAGTTTGTTTTTTCTTCATTTTGGTCAATATATGTCATAGTACATCTGATGAAAAGATATATTCTGTCGGTTCTATTTAAGAATATAAATTACCAGTGCATAATCTGCAAAACATGTCAATATACATTTGTAGTAAATATTTTTAAAAAGGACATTTCAAATATAACATAACAGTATTCTCTGTAAAATCAAACTTTATCCCCGAACGCTTATCACAAAGCAGTTCTTTATCAATTAAATCGAAAATTAAAGTTTCATTAGAGCATTATTCATTTCAGATATAACATCAGAAGAAAGATGTTTGTTTAGTTGCAAAAAATATTTTCTGACCATATTCTTTATAAGAAACTGACTTTGCATTAACTATAACAACTTATATACTTTTTTAGACTACCACTTAAATTCATCAGTTAATATCTTCTAAAATTCCAAAGCATTAAAATAAATTGTATTTATATTGTTCTACATCATGATTCTATTATTCTTCAATAGTTCGCATTCACTGTAACAGAAAACTATTTTCACAAAAGAGAAAATCAGCACATCATGAACGAAATTTCATATTATACACGCTATGACCTGGGTGCGAACTGGCTGCAAAGTACATCTCCAGATTGGACTCATCATTAATGAGATTATCAAAATTTTCGAATTTATCGAAATGTTAACTTTGGCGAAAAAAGTGTTTCTATATAGTACAAGTAGAATGATGAGTTTAATGCATGCTTAATTATAAACATCGCAAATATGTTATTAGAAAATCAACCAAGTTTTGTGATAATCGAAAATCAATACATATGGTATCAAAAACCTATGAAATTCATAGTACTCTGATGCTTTAGAGAACTTGGCTAAGTTTTCATCCATTTTTATTTTTTATTTCTATTAATCTTCGCCATTGTTTGATTTTTTATCACTGAAAAAGCACAATACAGATGTTTAGATAACTTTTCGACGAAATTCATTTTATGATCCAACCATGAGGAAGATTAAGGATGAATTTTCGATGAAAAACAAAGTTGGCAAACATTTTTGATATACGCGCAAGTCAATTCAGTTTTGGATATTTGTTCCAAATATCACATTAGTTTTTGTTCAAATCGTACTTTTCTAACTCAAATCTGTTAAATATTTGAAATTTTGTTTTTTGCGACTAATATTGTTTTCTCGATGTTTTTCCGCCATTATAAATCGCTTGAAAAGTACTATCAAACCATATGAATATAACCTGGTCACTCATGAGATGACTAGATAAAAGGTACTGAATATTATCAACAGTCGAGTTCAATACACATGTGATATCTATTGACTACTTGAATCGATATGTGCGCAGCACAAATGAGTACTATAAAACTAATTCCAGCGGAGTTCACTTTCGGACATTTTCTGAGATAGTTTGACATAGAAGAAATCAAATTTCTCTAGGAGGTCATTTACAACAGTTGTCAATCCCAATCGTTTTCAACTGCGCAAAAAACAAGAACTGCACTATTTAGAACATTCACAAATGTATTCCAGACATTTAATTGTCGAAGAAGTTTTTGGAATATTCTAGAATTTTCAAGAATAGTCAAAAGCTTTTTTTTGTTAATGTCGCCCTTTTCCTTTTTCTCTTGCTAGCAAACTCTGGGAAAGCAGTCTGACGCCTGCTGCCTTCGGTTATTATGGAACCGTACCTAATGATGTTTGACATCCCCCTCCACCGATTGATAGAGCTTCGAAAAAGACAGGTAGATTTGCGAAAACCTCGATTTAAGCTTTTACGTATGATTTTCTTCGAAAATATATGTCAATTCCAGAAAAGTATCTTAGATGATTGTCAAATTAAATGTTTTTGTGTAATACTTACTGTAACATTGCTATTTCCATCGATTCCGATGTTCATTGGTTTTAAATCCTATTTTAATAGAATAATTTAAAAGTTTTAACATAACAAAATGCTTTAATTGTACGTACACGATGGAGAACACCAGCTGAATGAATAAACTAGATAATAAAAAAAGAAAGAAAGGAAACAACATTGTATTCAATAGATACTGAGAGAAAATTCATAATACCTTCAAACCACGAAGAAGTGAATAGATAGTTATTTTAATAAGTTGCTCCGTGAATGGTATACGTTTTAATAAAATTCGGTTCAAATCACGGTCAACAAAATTTAATACAAAGTATCTATCAGACAAGAAAACAAAACTAAAAATCTTCATCAAACACGTGCAATTTTACAACATACAATGTTTGAAAATCGTGTATGTTTTGTTCAGGTGTAAATACATTATACAATTGTACAACCTAACATAGGAAAAAATACAGATGATTTTTGATGAATCTAAAACAACCATTTCTACAAACTTGTGCATCAGGATGATTGAGATACATAAGTAGTTTAAGTTCTCGATAGGTTCGTTTTGCATGTATATGAGTTTGAAATGGACGAAGAAGTTTTTTAATAGCTACATATTTACCTGTTGCCTGAAATCCAATATATATTTATATACTTGTTTTAAACATATTTATAATAACACATACAATATCGATGGCACGACTAAATAAAAATTTAATAATTATGAAAAGAAAATGAAATCATTATTTCTACTTACAGTACAATACCATAAGTTCCTTGTCCAATAACAACTAAATTTTGATAACGTCCAGGTAATGTAAATGTACAATTGCCACAAGAAACTGTATACCATTCACCTTGTTCACTACTTATAGAAGTCATATTTGTTTTTGCTAAATTAAAAAAACAACAATGTGTTAAGTGTTCTATTATGTTGAAAACAGAGAAATAGAAATTTGTCTTATATGTTTCAAAAAGAACACGAGACAGATTAAAAAGAACAGAATGAAACAAACAACCAATAATGACAGCTATTTATAAAGCAACGAAAAAACCAACAAAAAAAAAGTAATTTTCCTATTCAAATGGAAATTTCCATGCATGCTTATCATACAATATTAAATTTAAAAAGAAAACAAGAATTGATAGATGACGCTTTCACAGTTACCAATCGGACGACAATTACTCAACATTTACTCTTGATTATGTTGACAGTGTTGAATTCAATGGAGACAATGTTGATTTCTCTTGAAAAAGATCATAAAATAACAATTTTTTCGTAGGTTTAAGAAAGCTAGATGGTTTTTTTTTGTTTCTTCAAATTCAAAAAATGAGTCGATACTGTTGTGATGAGGAAAATTATATATTTATTAACATTGAAATAATGTTATTTCTCTCATTTATGCAATGCTTTTCGTACTAAAAGGTTAAATCAGATGGAGAATAAATAATGGTCTAAAGCACATGGTAGCTGGTGTTGATTTTTTTTTCTTTTTTATATTCTTTCTTGCTGACTTTCCTACCATACAAATACGATAGATTGAGAGTAGAATAGTAAGAAAAATGAGTGAGAAAAAAATAAATAACGATGGTCTCATTCGTAAATATATGACTGTTTTTTTTTTCTTATTATCAATTCCTACGTATACATCAGCTGAACGGTAGTGTGATTTCGAAAGAAAAGATTTCGTTGAATTTTTGTTGATAGAAGAAAAAAAAAATTATTAATTTAATATTGCAATGTTGACGAAAAATATAATAGCAGTAATGATAATGCGACATCAACAATTATATTGAAGAAGTTAGCGACATAGTATGTTGTGGCGTTGTCAGAAAAAGTTTTATCATGGGGGACTCAACAGTCTGATCATGTCTACACAACAGGCAGAGATTTTGGAGCGTCCGTCTGATTTTGCCATCAATAATATTATTATGAAATCTATTTAAATACTAATGCAAAAATGAGCTCTTATTATTTGTTCACTTATTCCAGTTAGATGGAATAATCAATTGTAGGCTATGATATTAGAATAAAAACCCGCAAGTAAAACTTCTTTTATAGAAACGTTTAACATAAAGATATGAGAATTCGAGTAGTTGATGTCGTGGAAATGAATGATAATGCTGAGTTAGGCGAACTAATGTAATTTCATAATTGTTGAGCTGTATGAGAACAATATTCGAACTGAATGTCTGCATAAGATACGCCAATATTTGACTTTTTCTGTGAAACTAATAGTTTCATTTTGTTGAAATAGTCATAGATTATTACATGATTCATAAATTGATTGTTTCACTCATGTTCAATTATATATTATTATTTGACTATTGTTTCCCTCAGAATAAAACTATATCTACAAAAGCAAGTACAGCATAAAATATTTAACAAGGAATAATATACTACGCAACGTTTGATTGATACGAATGTAGATGCCAGCAAAAATATTGTTGGAAGAAAAATAAAATTCCTTTTTTGTATCAAATAACCAGATGTCAAAGTTTTCATAATAACAAAAACAAATATAGAAAACTAAAATATTGATAGATTTTCCATGTTATTATCTATTTTAATAAATGTATGCTACCAAAGAGTTTAAAAAAAATATTAAAATTTACCATTAACAAAATGGCATTTAAGGAATCTTACTTTTCTGAACAATAATGAGAATTCCAAGTAATTGGTTTCATGCAAAATGATCTTAGTTTTATCTTCTTATCAACTGATGGTAAATAGTAGAATGAAAAATAATGTTTACTGATCAACCAATGCATTCTTTCCATAGAATCATTGAGGAAGAGGAGTTATCTCGAACTAAAAACAGAATGTTATTGTTATTTATATTAATGAATAGAACATATCTAAAATCATCATCATCCACATACATCCTGGTAAAAGCAAATATCTTTAACATGAATCAAGCAATTTTGTTAAATACACACTTGAGATGAGAATATAGATGGGCTCTAGAAATATGTTTTTGTTACATATATATGTAAATGTTTTTCTATTAGTTTATTGGAAAACGAATATTTTATTTAAATATTTTACATAAAAAGAAAGTGATACTTGAAAAAGTTACTAATAATATCAAAAATACTTTAACCTTGTCATAGACTATTAAAAAAATGAAGATTTGTTATGATTATTTAAACATCGATTTAATATTTTCTAAAAACAACTTGAGCATGTATTCGAAATGAAAAATTCATTGCAGTTAAAAAAACGTCTATTTGAATATCAACAATTTCAATATATCTATTCTAAATAAAACATTAATATGATGTTTTCTTTTTCTTTTATGTTTAAATGATAAATAAAAGCAGTATGTTACTATTATTATAAAAGCATATTGTTGACACTTTTTTTTAAGTTCTTATTACTATAAAAAAGGGAAAAACTTTATTAGTATGTTTCTATTTCGATCTCCACTCAGTGAAAATAAATACGCGAATGAGTTCTTAAAATAGATTGACTCAAGTCCTATGTGTTATTTGATGCATAAAGAAGAAAAATCTTTTCTAATCATATTCTTTTTTTTCGCGTTATTATTCTTCTTTTTTTCCATTGTTATTATCCTGTTTCTATGGCATGTGATATACAAAAAGTGAGTATGCCCATGAAACTAATTATAGAAGACTGATGTGCTTGTTCTCTCTGTCTTCTATAGCGCTCGTTTTCTTGCATACTAAATAAATGAGTGAAGCAAGAAGGCATAGCAAAAAAAAAAAGAAAACTATTTTCTTTTTATCACCGTATTTTACACATTATGCATCATGAATCGTCTTCTATCTCACAGTCGACCCGATATCAACCATTTACACAATCAACAACAGCAGGAATATTGAATGGAAGTTCGAATATTGTGATCATTGATAGAAAGTCACGAATTCAACGATGGATATTTGGAATGATTATTGGTTCAGCACCATTTTTAGTTATTCTTATGTGTTGGATGTTTGTATCAGTATGTATTAATAATTTAGTTAGATATTATCAAAATCGAAGAAAACAACATCGAAATGATATACAAACAAATGAAACTAGAAGTATTGTATCATCTAAGATACATGTGTAATGTTGTGTTCTCAATTATTCTATCACGAATAATTAGAAAAAATAAACATTTCCTGTTGACAAGTTTTTTTATTTCTGAATAAACAATGAACAAAAATGATACAAAGCTTGTTAACTAAAAGTAATAGTACAAATATTAAAAAAAACACAGAAACTCTGACTTCTAAAAGTAATGTTGGTGTTCTAACTTCTTATAAAATAATTAATATTTCATTTCTTAGATTACATTTCCATAAAAAAACAGCTGCATTTCATAGAGACATTTTATAGACACAGTGTCAAATTGATACTGTCAATTGATATAATGAAATTTACTCGAACAAAAATCATTTTGCTTTTCCGCCATATGAAACTGCTCGTGCATATATACGTATAGAGAGGGAGAGAGAGAGAGAGAGAGAGAGCTACAAACGAATGCATGGGATCATTGTGACAACGGTTATGTTTCATTGTTTTTAGAAGAGTCATTCAGAGTTTGAAGTAATTGTTAGGCATTTTTTATTCTGAAAATACTATATAAGCACAGGAAACTTTGTTTTTAACCCAGAAATTCATGTGAGTCAGCTACTTTTTGTATTTTGTTTGACTCAAATAATAATTTCTTATTACATACCTAGCAAAACACAAAGAATTTATTCTTTTTTGTGAAATTATTCGAATCGATTTCGAAAATTGATAATGCTTAAAGACTTTTTATAGCGAATATCGTGCTAGGAAAATCAATCGTTTTCATACAAACAAATAAAACGAGAATCATATGATGACTTTGTTTTATTTTAAATGTAAAAAATAGATCAGAAAATATTACAGAACAGTGTTAATTAATCGAACCAAATTAATTTTCATCCAAAAAGCAATGGTCTTATTTCTATTTCATCAAAGAGACATCGTATTCATTATGAGAATTTTTTTGTTAATCATAGCGATTGATGCTCTAGACAAAGAGATACTTTTGAGGACCGACATTAACAATAGAATAGACACATTATTTGACTGTTTATTCATTCGATCTCATTGTGTTTCACAGATAAAGAGCAGACTTTTTTTTTTTATTAATGAAAAACCCTCCCTAGAAAAATTAAATTTAATATTCATAGTTTCACATCATACAACAAATCTTCTACAAACATAAGAAAAAAAATATATAATGTATTAAATATAACAGTAAGAAGATGTTCTTCAAATTGTCAATTTCTTTCAAAGAGAAAAGCAATTAATAAATCCAACAGAGATAAAAAGCTGTTAGTGTAATCCCGCAGGGATTAAAATGTATAACAAAATGTAGCTGTTGTTGCTGATTAGAGAAGATTGTTTCATTGTATGTGTTTGGAAGCAAATCTCTCATTATCCTTTCCCTTGATTCTTCAATTAGACACCAAGAAAGTAGTTCGTATATAAGAACAAAATGTTATTGATTTACGATGTTTGATCGTATAAAGCAACATCCATTGCGGAAAGATTGGACGTTACTAAAGTGTCTGTCAAGAGCAGTGACAATCTTTGACTATTGTCTGTCATTGTCTGTACCGTATGGAAAAGGAAGATGCAATTTTCTACTTCTATACTTCAACATTCCTTTTAAATCGTGTTTCATAAAGTAATACCATTAGTCAGTTGTTTATGTATATATATATATGAATATCTTTTTTCCCTATAATCTGTATCATGTTTCTCATCCAGAGGGTATATTGATTCATTGCTGTCATGAAACATGTTAGCATTTATTTTATTATTTTCAATATCTATTGCTTAAAATATCGATGTTCTTCTATTAATTCAAACAAGTCGTATTTTGACCTTCGTCTTTCATTTGAATGATAAAAATTAAAAGGAATAGCTCGTTCTGCAAATGTTTTGATTAATAGCTACTCAAATATTGTATGTCTACTATGATGGCACGGCACACTAATGATTCAATTTCCATGGGCTACATTTTCTTATTATTTATTTCAATTAGGTTTAAAAAGTTTTCATCACTATAAAATTATTTTTTTTAAAGTAATTATATATTCTGAGATAGCTTGAAATACTCTATCACCTTATATATTTATCTATTTTTTTTTGCATATATTGCTCACAAAATAGTTTAGGTGCAATATAAATGCTCTCTGAATTGACAGATAACAAAAATTTCTTTTTTTCTCTACTTTTTTAATGTTTGTTAAATTGTTGGCAATACAGGAATAACGTTTCATGAAACTAACAATACACTTTTAAAGCGAGGAAACTCTTAATCATCGTGTATTTTCAAGGTCTTTAGGTTTAAATTACATGCTGGCCAATATATATAATATTTTTGATTGATTTTAATCTTTATATTCCTATGAAACACATTTTCTCACTCTGTCACTAAGCAAAATAAGTCGTTTTTTTACATTAATCTTTTATAGAATGTCACATTCTCAAATGCACTAATAAAGAAAAATCCTGATATGTCACAAAAAAGGTCTCGTTTATTGTCATAAGCATATCCGATGCTACGTAAATTGATACACATCTTTTAGACGAATACGCATTAAACATACATTCAGCAACATTATGTTATTGGATTATGTCTTAACTATAGGACATGTTATTAAGCATTTACATGACAAACTAAAACTACTTACTATTAATAAAATATAGTCTAAAAAACTTTCTATACAATTATCAATTGCACATGCAAGTTCTTCAACATTTGTCAGAATGTTATTAAAAATCAAAAGCATTCAAACAACAAACAGCAGAGAATTTGAAAGAATCTCATAAAATATAATTACTTTTTTTTTGCTACCTCTGTTGTGATAAAAAAACAAATTGGAAGGGTGGTAAAAAAATATAGTCCGTAAGAACCATATCATCATAATGCTTTCATTGTATTCAATATACTTCTGTGATAAGCGCATGAATAAATATAAACATATAGATTAATAGAAAAAGCCGGACACTTTCACAGTACATTATTATTTTCTTGAAACAGGTGTTTTTATAGTGACGATATATTTAAAAAAATCGACTGCAACTATTTTTCTGGAGTACATATATATATCTATATATATAATAGAACCGCAAAAAAAGAAAATTTATTTTTTTATCTTCACCAGTCATGAGAAACAGCAAAAGAGGAAAAACCAAGCAAAAGAAAAACACACGCACACGGAATAACTTTCGTGCCTCTATAGATAGATACTGTTATAATAGCAAAACATGTTTTTTTTTCGAATATTTCATTAATTTTGGCGGGGATTTATAATGCCATGATAAACTCGATGGAATGCAAGTAAATAAGTGACAAACAAAAACAAAAGAAAAAAGAAAACAAACCGAGAAGTATTAATCGACAAGTAGCACCCTGCATGAGAGAGCGAAAGAGAGAGAATCAATCATCAGACTAAATATTTTGTGGCTAGAGAGCATGAAAACACAAGAAAAACAAGAAGAAATATATAGAGAAAAATAATTGTACATATATAATTAAATCTATCTCGATGATGAATCCATTCGACGAGCACCACTGTTCGACGAATAAAGATTAAGCCATGCATCGAGTGACTGTTGACACACCTGAGGACGTTTTCCTAGATTACGAAAAAAAAAGCGAAACAACATATTCATTTTATCTATTACAAAATAATAATAATAAAATACAAATGACTTACCAACTTTTTGTTTAGCTACTAATAAGCCATTACTTGTAAAACCACAATCAAGCCATTGATGAAGAATAGCTTGTTCATGTCCAATCTAAATATATAAAAAATAACGAAACATTTCTCTCATATTGTTTTTTGTTGTTAAAAAATAACATACTTCAGATGATGTTAGAAAATGAACAGGTAAAAGATTTCCATCACAATCCATTAATGGATGATAAAATATTTGTGTATCACTGGTATCATTTTGTTGTTGTTGCTGATTTATAAATGATGGTGATAAAGATGCTGATGGTCTTTGTTGAATATCATTATCATGATTCTGAATTAATGGTGACGATGAACGAGATGATGATGATGTTATATTAATACGTTCTTGCATAGGTACAAGAGCAGAAAAATGATTACGTGTAAAACCAAGACATATAGGTGATTTTGAACAAAAATTTATTTCCCAAAGTAATGGTAAATAGACACCTTGAAAACGAGCAAGACCAATAAAATATTCACCACGATAAGATTTAACATTTGTTACACCATAAACAATAATTGGTCGACGAAGTATATGTGATAATGCAAATATATGTGCATGTCCTAAACTTTCACCAGGTTGATTTGCAAATGTTAATACATCATCCCAATCACTTCGTAATTGATGTTCATCTTGTCTATATTGTTGTTTTTCGGCAACCAATCGTTCATATTCACTCCATCGTTCAAAAAATCTATTAAAAAAGAACAAGAAAAGCACATCAGTTAAAAAGAAGGATTTTTTGTTTTTGCGTACTTATTTGAACCATTTTCTAAACATTCAGCCATTGCTCGACGTAATGTATTCTCTGTATCCCATACTCCAAGACAAACTTGTAAAACACTATCTAATAAACAATCACCGTTTTTTCGATTCCATAATGCATATAAACGAGAATGAAATCGATTTGTTACTTCACTATTCCAATTTATTATTCGATTATCAACTTCAAGTTCTTAAATACAAAAAAAAACAAATTTTTTATAAAGAATTTCTATCGATTAATGAAATATTTAGTATTCAGAAATGAATATATATCAACAGAAAAGACTATAATATTAATTTCATCAGTAAAATCTTTCTTACCTTGTTGAACTTGTTGATCTAAAATATCATCAAATATTTGTTGTTGTGTTCGATGAGAAAAATCGAGAATTTCTATAAAAAAAAAGTGTAAAAACGAAAAGAGAAATTAACAAAACTGAATTCAACAATACACTTTTTTGGTTTCTAACCTGCTGGTAAAACAGCTGTGAACCATTCTGTTAAAACATATGATTGAAAATCGGTAACTTTTTTTAATTTTAAATGACTATGAAAAAAATGTTGTATCATTCG